GAATCTGTTCACTTTTATAATTACATTTAAATGGAATTCATGCGAAAACATTGAAAAAAAATATTTCAAACGATACTTTAAGAAATATTTCGAATTAATTTTTATTCAGCGAATTTTAGATCTACAGATGATGATCTGCATTATAAATTTATCCAAAAGTTTAGGTCAAAGCAAATATTTAAAGTTAGAATGATGAATGAACATTTCTGTTTCAATAAGTTCAATGAGTAAAAAGAATAGTAAATATTAGCTTAGGTAAATCTTAAATTTCCATTCGTTTGCATTAGATTGTTAAAAGAATCTTTTCAACTTTAATTAAGTAATTTGATTTATTCTTGTTCAGTTGATTTACTTTTGTTTTTAATAGAGGATTTAGAATTTAAATTACAGATCATGGTAGTTCATAATAAAATGTTTCAAGAACTTTTTTTTTGTAAGTGAAAGAAGCAAAATAATTTTTATAAAAAAAAATATATTCTTTTAAGTAAAACTACTTAATGCTATTTTGCTAATTGCATTATTATATTTATAATAATAAAAAGCATATTACGGGTATATTAACCCTTTAAAACATTTAGGTGAATAATAACACGTTTTCTTTTATGATTTGTGTTACTAAATTTATATAAATTAAAACAAATATTAACATTATATGATTTTAACTATTTCAAGCATTTCCTAAATCTTTCTTTTAGAATTTTATGGATTCGAAAAAAAATTATAAAAAAGTATTTTCTAATATATAGTTTCATTAAATTTATATTAATAAAAAAATATATTACATACATTTTAAATTATATATTATTAAATTCAAGCATTTCATGGATCATGCTTTAAACGTTTTCTTAAATTATGAAATAGAAAGAGGTCTTCTTTTATAAATTGTACTACTAAATAAATATTAATAAAAATATATGCATTTTAACTATTTCAAGCATTTTATAAACCATTCTTTTACAACTTAACAAAATAGATATAAAAAAAAGTTTCCTTTTATAATCTGCATTAATAAAATTTAAACTTCATACACATTTTAAAAATTTCAAGTATGTGTGCTTAAAATTGAGATTGTGCTTTTAAGCGTTTTCATGCTTTTGAAAATTATTAATTACCTTTTATGAAATGTATCATTCAATTAATATTTAGAAATAAACTATAATTAGAAGTTTCATTTTCTGAACTTTAAATAAGTTATATGATTAATAACTAAACTCACTTCTATAGACTACTAATTTCTCTAATAACAGAACGACCATGCATGTTATAGCCACTATTTCAACATGGCCGTCGGAAAGTATACACATTTTAACTATTTCGAGTATCTTATAAATTGTACTTTTACAATTTCAAGAATTAGAAAAAAAATTCTTTTCTTCTTAACTTTTAACATTCCACAAACTATTAAATGTTTTTGGAATAATATTTTAGATCATTCGAATGATGATGATTTTTTCTACTTAAACCATGTTTTGGCTTTTTCTTTCGTGTTTATTTATGTTATTTTTCAGATCACCAAAATGGAATGTCCAAGTTAAGAAAAATTAGCAATTTTGATACCTCTTTCTTTTTGCTTTTAATCAAATTTTACGCTCGCAAAAGCTGTCGTGTCCTTCGCGCTGTGCTATAACTGAAAGATCCACTATTGTGAATTGTGCGCGTATGCCAAGTTAAATTAAAGCATTAAAAAATATATATATATGGCCGGAACATAGATGCCATTTAAATGATTTTATAAATCACATTAACATTTATATACATAAATTCAAATGTTCATAGTAGAGAAATTGCAACAAAAGAAATTAGATTTAAATGGAAAAAATCGACGCTTTTAATTTTTTTAACCATTAAATTATTTCAAATATATAATAATTGCAACATCAACAAAAATAATCATTTTAGTTTTGTTATTTTTTAAATCAGTTTCAATAACTTTTTAGCCCAGAATCATGTTTTCCATGATTTCAGATGATTGAAGTAATTTTATCCCTTAATTTTCCAGTATTGTAATTGAGTTAAATTTATTATAAAACTCATATATAATGGTTCTTAATTTCTTGACTTGGTATGATCTAGTATATATAAGCTTAGAGCACCATAGCGATAAAGCACACTTTTTCCTAAGGTCACGTTTATACATTAAGCTGTTCCTCAGTATTGCATCCAGATAGGTACTTTCAGTTTCCAGATAATGCCCAGTGCAACTTTTTTTTTACATGAAAATCTTGCTTTTCACTAAAAACACTCTATAGAATAAATAAAAAAAAGTCGCGTACTATTATATCGCTCCAAATTCTTCATATAAAGTAGCTGATAACGAAGTTAAACAATATGAAAACTGTAATCATAAGTGAACACTATAAACACATAATTACACTGACAGACATTTCAAAAATATTTATTCTAGTTAATAACTTGAAAATACATTGCTTACAATTTGTAAACTATGGAAGAAAAATTTACAAAATTCAGTTCAATGCCAATTGTGTCGCAATATAATCAATTATTACATTAGTAAAGTTGGCAGCTATTATAGAAAACTTAAAATATAGATTACGCAGCATCATTAAACATCAAAGAAATTATACATTTAACTTTAAGAAAGAAATTAAACTTTATTTCGGTATGCTACATCATGAAACTTATAAGCATATGTTAAGATCCACAAAAGAAAAAAAAAAGGGCTTAATGCAAAACAATTAATCCTTTTCTGCTAACGAAGTGTTTTACCAAGTGTTTAATAAAGAATGAGTCATACTGTAAACTAGAAATTATATTATTTGAACTTTTAATGAATGCCCCAAAATATAATCTTACTTACGTAAAATATGTTAAAGTTCACAAATTTATAATTAAAAACTTAGATAAAGATTAATAACCCCAAAATATACTAGAACCGCTATTCTTTTAACGTAACCGAGCAAAAAAAAAAAAAAAAAAACTCTGAACTATGCAAGGTAAAATAATTATGGAACTAAAGAGATTTGCTAAGAAAAGGTTATTATTAATTTGCTAAAAATAAAATATTCAAATTAAATTAAAACTAAATCATAAAATATCTCTTTAAGTAATAACGCACATTTCTTTTTAACCATAATATTCTAGGAAAAAGAAAATTTCCTTATGACGGTTCTTTTAACTAACTTATTTTGAGTTCTAAAAAATATAGAATTAAAAGAGAAGTATTTACCCCTCCCAGATCAAAAAGCTCCTCAAAAAAATATCTAACTTAGTCGGCAGCAACCTATGCACTTCTAAGATATATAGATATTTCTTAAGATACATATATATATAGAAGTTTTTTTAATATGACCATTTTTTAAAAGATATATCGAAGTTTTGAGCAAAAAAGCTTTTATGCCTAAAACCTTCTTCGATAATGAAAATAACTAATCATCTTCTCTTCGTTGGACAAAGAATAGTAGTGGAGCGCCAATTATCCGAACACCGATTTACTGGATTGTTCAATAATCCGGATCATTCAAACATCATGTGTTTTTCGCGAATATGCTTTTTTTATTTTCAGAATATCTGAAAGGGTTAAAAAGAATTGGCCTTTTTTGTCTTCTACCTTAAAAACAGCCTCTCCTTCATTCTTTACTTTCAATGCGGGTGAAAACTGGTAGGTAATTTTTAGTAAGGAAATTAATTTCTTAGAAAAAGGCGGTGAAATACCCGTTTTTAAACACGTTTTGTCGGTCAATTTGGCAAAAAATAAAATGTTACAAAAGTTAAATCTTTTAAACACTCCATTTTTAGCATGCTATATTAGGCTCTATTACAACTGCCAGTTCTAAGACTGCAAAAAGTGGGAGGAAGAGAAATTACTGAATAAAAATTCTCATAACCATTTTTTAAAGTTATTTAATTATCAGCATTTTTAATTATCTGGTTCGGCTTTTGTTCCGATTGGTCCGGATAATCGGCGCTCTAAGGTGAATGAGGAGTTTAATGAATCAAGGTGCCAAAAAACATTCGAAAACGAGCAAAAGTTTGAGATTAAAAACATTTTTTTTTTGTCAGCTGTAGATATAAAATAAAACATTTAATTTATTTTACTAACAAATTTTTAAAAAAAGGCGATGTTGATGTTAAATTTTGTATGACTGTTGCTATATTTCCTAAAGCAATATTCCTAATATCCCTAAGATAATACTTAAAACAATTTTCCATTTTAAGCTGCAAAGAAAAAAAAAGTTTTTTTTAAAAATAAAATGGCTAAAGATGTATTTGACGGTAGTGTTAACGTCAAAAATTAAATATCAAAGAAAATACTTTTTAACTTTCAACAAAAGTAAGACACGATATAGAAAAATATATGAACTTGAAATTAAAATATTAAGCAGATATCTTATAACCTTTCAACATTATTTGCTACAAAAGAGAACAAATAGCTAATACAAAAAAATTATGGCATTATCAAAACAAATAATTTAACTGTTACGAAGGTAATACTATTTTGAACCAACCTAAAAATACATTATAAAATAAGATCTCCTAAATTACATAATCGCACATATTTCTTTTAAACAATAATTTCTTTTGATGCAAAATATGTTTAAATGAAAGTTAATTAACATTCTTTTAGTTTTTGAAAAATATAGAACTAAAAAGAAAATAACTACCCCCACCCAATCAAAAAAGGTTTCAAAAAAATCTAATATAATCTGATAAACTAAGAAGTAAATGTCTTTTCAAAAATAAAATGGTTTAAGATATATTTGGCGGTAATGTTAACGTTAAGAAATAAAAGAATTTCAAAGAACCTTCTTTACTTTTAACAAAAAAGTAAAGAACGGCATGAAAAAATAAATTAGTATTGTATTAAAATATTAAACAGATATTTAATAACATTTTAACATTATTTACTGCATAAGAAAACAAATTTCTAATACAAAAATTGTGGTATAATTAAAACAGAAAACTTAACGGTTTCAAAAGAAACATCATTTTAGACCAACCAACTGCACCATGAATATTTTCTTTCCAATAATATTCGCAGATCAATTCTTCTTTTTACCTTTCTGCATAATTTCCTTTAAACTTTTCTTAGTCTTTTTGTTTGTTTTGTCATAATACAGAAATTTATGCTTCTTAACATTCTGCATATGGTTGACTCTGTGATTTACAAGCGCTTTCTTTTTGGTATAAGTTTTATCACACTTATAACATCGGTACAATGTTTTCTTAGCAGGACTCGTCTTGGTCAGTGATGAATCCCCAGAAACCAGTTGAATGGGTGAAACTGTAGGAGGAACATCATTATGAGATTCAACTGGTTTTGGTGGTGCCCAATCTGCAGTGCAACTCATGGGATTAGCTGTTGGATCAAAATTTTTTATCGATTTCGGTTTCAATGTTAAATCATTAGTGCTGTAATTTACACTGATTGGTTTTTCTATTACATCAGGATACACTGTGAACGTCGTTGGAATTGCTGACTTTATTTTAGAACTGTCGCCATTTACACTAATGGGATTAGCTGTTGGATCAAGATTTATCATCAATTTCCCTAGTAGTTCTGATTTCAATTTAAAATCATCATTGTTGTCTTTTACACACATTGGTTTTTCTCTTACAACAGGATACGCCGTGAACTTCATTGGCATTTCTGACTTCATTTTAGAACTGCAGCCATTTACACTAATGGGATTAGCAATTACATCAGGATTTATCATATTTTTTTGAGGCAATTCTGGTTTTACTTTCGAATTACGATTGCTGTCATTTTTACCCATTGGATTAACTATTACATCAGGATTCATCATTGACTTCACTGACTTCGTTTTCACTTTAAAATTGTCATTGACTGGCTTTGATTCAGAAATGGCGGCATTACTCATTGCTTTCAAATTTAAACAGGCTTTCTTATCAAACGGGTGTATTCCCATTTCCTTTATTTTTTTATTTCGCCTGTGATTATTTTTGTGCGTAACAAACGTTTTTCGCACAGTGTATATTTTACCACAAATCTTGCAGGTATAAGATGGTTTTTCGGCAGCTTTAGAAACATCTTTAGAAACACTGCCTGATACTTTTTTTCTCTCATTTTCTGAAGTATGAGTCAGTTTATGCAACAATATATTTGCCCGAGAAAAAAATTCTCCACAAAAGTTACACATAGACGAATCACGTTGCTCTTTCCTGTCATCTGAAAAAGATAAGATAATTAATGAGGCAAAAAATTAAGAAAGCACAATTTTAAAATGCAAAATTCGTACTCATCCGTTTCGACGGGCTGCATAGTGGGACGAAAATCGATATTCGTGGTCAAATATGGAAAAAAAATGCAACATTTTCACCTTTTTTTTCTTTGGTAGTAAAATGTTGAAGGAAGAGCTTTATTTTGCAATTAAATAAATAATAAATGCACTAAAATTCAGATAAAGTTAACTTAAAAAATTATTGAAAAAATTAAGCTACGTTAACAACAAACAAAATATGGCATTCTTTTTATGTCTTGATTGAAATTAATTTCAGAATATGTATTACTATGATCTCAATTTATATTAGTAACAAAAAAAGTAAAAATGAGGATTGAAAAAGAATTGTAAAATTTTTTGAGTATTAAAAAATATTCGCCATAAAATTGCTATGAATTATGAAAATTGATAGTTTAGCCAATATGGAAAATATTACCAAAAGATAAGGTTTTATTTTATTATTTAGAAGCATTAAAATGACGGCATAATTAATAAAACTTAATAAAAAAACCTTTTTTATTCATATATTAAAAGATCATTAAAGTAAAATGTATAATTAATTTTCAAATAAATATTCATAGTAAACGTTTATTTAATTCAAATAAACATAGCTTCAATTTTCCAAAATTTTTTAGGTTAGCTTTACCTGAATTTTATTGCACTTTTTATTTATTTAATAGCAATTTAAAGTTCACTATTCTTACACATTTTACTCCAAAAAAAGTAAATAATAAATAAAAAATTTGAAAATAACTCTTGATAATACTTTCTTTTTCCCATATTTCCATTTCCGTCCCATTGTCAACAGTAAGAAATTAGTTAAACTATTGTTGACACAAATTATGCTTAATTAATTGTGGTAATAAAATCTATCTAGCATAATAAATTTATTGCGACAGTTTCTAACGACTCTCCCAAAACGGATAAGTACCATAAATAATAATGAAAAATCAAAGTTATTTTGCTTGTATGATTTACATATAAATCTTAAATTTTTTTGCTTAAATAGGTATAATTAGCACCAAATCAGGTATAAATATGTTGGAGGACACATTCGAAAGATAGTAACTTTAAAATCTTAACAGAAAATCTTTTTAAAAAAATTCTTAGTTAATAATTTAGTCCACAATTTCAGTATACAGAACAATAACTTTTAACTAAACTGAAATCAAAATTTATTTCACGTTCCCTCTGGTTACCAAAGTATTTGTCAATAATAATGTACAATCGTCACACAGGCATTTGCCTATAGTAACGGAGATAAATTCCTTAATTTCCAAAGGAATATTGAAATGCAAAATTTAAATGATTTTATTTATTATGTGCCTTCGAAATTTACATGGTTATCAAAATTAAACTGCCTTTATTCAGAGAGCGGTACACGTAAAATATATTCTATAGGCCAGAATAGCATTAAACTTAAGCTAACGGATACTCAAATCATCCACTTCGGATTTATCAACAAAGTGGCTCAGGTGATAGAGCGCTGACCTTTCCAATAGGACTGTCTACCCACACACCTGTCACCAAAAAAAAAAAAAAAACATCTAAGAGAAAACCCCAATAAAACCCATATTTAAGAGGGTTTTTTAAGAAATAAAAAAAAAGGGAGTAGGTTTACCGACTTTTTTTTTCCTGTTATTATTATAATTCCATACATTTTTAAATATTTTTCTCAAGTTACTTTATCATTTTTAAGTTAATAATCTTGATTACATGCTAAAAAGTTTAGCAAAAAATTTTTTAATACATTTTTGAAAATTTTTATTTTATGAAAACATATATTTTAAATAATAAAAAATATTGTAACATAGCAGAAATGAAACACTCTTTGTATTTTACCAAAATATTTTAATCTCAAAGATATCACATAATATAAATTTTACAAGAAAATTCTGTTATTTACGTTAATGAATGATATTTTGGCAAAGTAAAAATAAAATGAATGCCACATTTAGCTAAAAGTTCTGTAATAGTCTCTTCTGTCTATTAACCTCTAAAAAAACATCTATTAACTTCAGCAAGCTTTTTATTTTTTTCGGGACACAAATTGTTTCGCAGTTTGGACCAAACAAGTTCATGTGTTAAAAACCTGCATTCAATAACTGCTGAGCTTGCTGGACAACCAGCTAACTGAACAATAAAATGGGCAAATTCTTTTGCATTCTTCACTACACTTTAAACGATGATTGTGGGTTCACACTTTATTTTTTATTCTGAAACACAGAACTAGAATTACCCACTCATCATTTTTCTTAGAAGCCCAATCCTCTGTCTCTTTTCGCATGTACTTAGAAAGCCTCTTTCCAGTGTATTTCGGATTCAGCATATTAGCTAAAGAAATGAAAAGGCGCAAGGTCCCACAACAACGAGACCAGGTTTAGCTTACAATCTAATTCACGCCGGACCTTTATATGGAGAACGTTAGGGTTTCATCACCACCGTTACGGTAAATGCAGGACTGCTGATTTGGGGTGGTTTCATTCTGAATTTCAGAATGTATAAGCATTTTCAAATCGAAACGGACAAGTCAAATTTAATGGGTCATCATTCTAGAACATGTGCCTTTGTATTAGGCAGGGTTGGCAAGATTTTGCCGCAGGTGGAAAAAACCATGGTAAATACCGGTAAAAACCGTCCTGGCAAAAACAGGTTTAGTCCAAGCAAATTGGCAAAAACCTATATTTTCCAAGATGAGAGGACAAAAACACATTATATATACTATGAATATAAATAATTACAAAAAAATTAACAAAACTATTATTCCATGACATAATTAAATGATAATGTATCATTTTAGTAGTTTAAAACATTATTGATTGGAAAATTTGCGATTATTCTCTTTTTTCCAGTGAAATGAACTTATTTTAAATTAATATAACTATAATTTAAAGCATAAAATATCTATCAAGATGTGTAGTTAATTATTGTACAAATAATAATTTTTTATAATATAATAATAATAATATTATACAAATAATAATATTTATTTATTTGTAAAAAAAACATTTATTTAAGGATTCTAAAATGAAAAGAGGTTAAAAACTTTCAATGTTTTAAAAATTATTGCCTTTATATTAATTATTAATATGTTAAAAATAATTTTTTCATGTAATGTATCAAAATTATTATTCCTTATGATTGATTTAAATTTGTTTCAAGTATTTTGTAATAATATTTAATCAGCAATTTAGATATTTTGGTTTTTGCCACTGTCCTGGCAAAAAACCCATTTTGCCGGCAAAAACTCCAACCCTGGTATTAGGGTGTGAGCAGAATTTGTGTTTATGGTTGACAACGCCCGGTTTCAAGTTTCACCGCGCAAACATCGTAAACGAGTGCCTTCAATATGCAGATATCAATCGTCTGGAATAGACAGTGTTCTCACCTGATTTGAATTCGATGCATGTGTAAGATATACTTAGCCCGACAACTTGCAGCTCATCAATTACTTTTTTACTTGCATATAGGACTTTAGGATCACATTGCTTGATGAGTGATGTAATCTTCGCCAAGATCAGAGCATGCCTAGACGTTGTACGTACTGCATTGCAGCACTTTCGAACGATACACCTTAATAACTGTTATGTTAACCATACGCTATAAAGTTTTTCCAAGGAACATACGCCGTAGTATTATGAATATTGTATATTTAACATCTTTTCTTCCTTTGAATCTTTATGAATGGTGTTTTCGACACTACGAAGCGCAGCAGGCTCTTTACAGCCTGTATTTCCGGGTTGCTGTAATGATGCACTGCTTGTAACAAGAACTAAGTCCAATCACGTTGCCTTTGCTAAACAATATATCTATAAATAACTAACACAAATTTTCACTTCAAGCTCACCAGAATTCTCATTATTAAAAATCTTATGAAATGCAACAGATTTGAGAGCAGGAGTTTTATTATTTCTCTCATTGAAAACAAAATTATCTGTTTGAAAATATCACCATGAAAAATAAGCTGTAGTAAGCAACCATAAACTTCGAGATTTGTGTTTACATTCGTAGTGAAAACACCATTCATTTGAGCCACATGGCATCATCCTTAATTTAAGAGCGTGAGTGTAGTTGGGAAACAATGTTCTATTCTGAAACAGATGGGGCTTTTAAACTAGTGTCACTCAAGCCAAGAGTGGGGGGTCGTGTAATTGACGAGTTGAAGTTATGAGCTGGACAATTATTTCGTGATTTAATGTTTATTTAAGTTGTGTACATTACATCTCGTGTTTATAATGTTTATTTACATTGTGTTCATTAGATTTATGTTTCACACTTATGTTTATTTATTTTACGTGTTTATTTATGTTACACGTTTATTATTTTTATCATCTTATCATCTGTATTTCTTATATTTATATATGCTGTGTTATTTACGTGTTTAATACCATGATAATTAGTACATGCCAACTGATGTTCATATACGTAATGTTTTTATTATATTTTATTTATGCCCTATGTTAATTATGTTTATTTCCATGTTCTAAACAACGATAATTATTTTCATCTGCTTTTTCTGCAAAAAAAAAATTTTTTTTTAATGTGCACTCTCAATGTATGTGTTATTTTGGTTCCAATTCGGTTAGTTATAATGTTGCGGAAGGCATAGACAGGACCAAAGATTGTGGTTTTGCACATTTCCTGTGTGTTTTGTGTTCCTGTTTTCGTGTAAATAAATTGTGCGATGCCTTCTCCTCCAGAGTGAAAAATTCATTGCACCAAAGCTCAATTAACATAAGCTAACAAAATGTAAAATAACTACTCAATAATTTTCGCAAAAATATAATTAGACTAAATAAACAAAATAGTAAAATTTTTATTTGACAATATATGTAGCATGGGTATCAGAAGTTTAATAGAAATACAGTATTTACAAGATTCATTTAGGCATCCAAACACAGCAATACATGGAACTCATTATTGCTTTCAATTTCGTTGTAAACACTCTCACTTCAGTACAATCTTTCTCACAATATATTTGACTTCCGATAGCACAAGATCTGGTTCTACACGAAAAACAAAACTTGGTAGGAATATAAAATCTAGGGTAAACAAAATTTCACGTGGCACTGAGTGCAAAAATGCTGAGTGTATGATTCTACTTTAGTAACTACTAGTATTTTGCCCCATTGAACAGCGATATTTTGAGTACATGAGATTCTGTCCTTATTTCGTTTTATTTTCTCTACGCTTTGATGCTAAACTATGATACTTGAACACCTTAAGATTTTGTTCGGGTGTTCCTCTGTTTTCCTTTTCTTGGAGACTTTTATAAGCGTTTTTCGAAGCTCTTTTGCCACGAAAAATAAAAAGAATACATGATGTTTGAGTGTCTAAAACATGAATCAAAGGTTCAATTTTAAATTATATATAATATCTTGTAACAGCTTAATATCAGAAAAAAATTACAACTTCTCGCTAGTTCTGCGGTACCTTTCTCCTTGAGAAAAATTAATAAGGAGAATGAATAATTCTTAAATTTGGCATATATTTATGAACACAAATAATGAAGCATCGAGGTAATTTTTCAGATATTAAAATAGATAATAATTTTTTTAGATATTAAAACATTAAATCATAAACAGATTTTATTTCTACATAACTATGGTTTTTCTTTATAGTGACATTTTTCATCATTAGCATAACAGGTGCAGCGAAAGGTGGACAAAACTTAACCTAAACTATTACAACACTTCAAAGAACAATCTTTAAGACATAGTTTGATGCACTCTGTATTTTTTTTCTTCATACAGGGTATCTGCTACATTTTAGATTTTCTAACTTCATGACTTTCCATGATTAATTCCAAGAATTTTTCATGACTTAACAAAGTTACTATTTTCTACATACAATAACATTCATTGAAATGATAGGTATAACCAAAACTGTTATGCTCTGCATCTTTATAATTATAGATTTAAAAAACAAAGTAAAGAAAGAGTTGAAGCAATAAAATAGCTGAAAAAAATACAAAAGCAATTATATTTTTTTTTCCTGCAGAATACATTCTAATGATACTTTTCTTGTTCATCCGAAAGGAAAGAAATACTCCTGATTTTTCTGTTCTCATTTCGGAATAAAAAAAAATCGCCANGCAATAAAATAGCTGAAAAAAATACAAAAGCAATTATATTTTTTTTCCTGCAGAATACATTCTAATGATACTTTTCTTGTTCATCGGAAAGGAAAGAAATACTCCTGATTTTTCTGTTCTCATTTCGGAATAAAAAAATTTCGCCAAAGACTGGCTTGCTTCAGCTAGAATTTTAAATTGATAAAATAAAAAAAATAAGTAATAACAAAAATTCTGAATTCACAGAAGTTTAAAATATAATTTACTCTAGAAATGTTTTTTCTTTCATTTTTTGAAAGAACACCCTAATTTTTAAAGAACACCATAAAAACATTTTATATTTTAATCAAATATGACTGTGAGTGGGGATTTTGTTACAAATTCAGATATTCCGAATACCATTAAATTGGGGAGAGGGGATTAGATGTATATTGTATTGTGCACAGTAGAATAAAATTTACATGGGTCACTTCACATACTAAAAGACATTTTCAGATAAAATATTAAAGGAAATAATTTAGACAATAATTATGTCCAAAAAAAAAATATTATTTTAGAAATTTTTTTTGTTGGAATTTTTAAAACGTTATAAATAAACTTAATTATAATACAGAAATAAACATTTTAACAAATTTTAAGCTAGTTTTTTGATAATATCTTTAATTAACGAGAGCCAATAATTGTTAAGAACAGAACATTCAATTTTCAGCCAAATTTTGAAATGCCTTTATGAAAATAAAAAACAAATTAAATTTTTTTCAAATGCATTCTGTAACTGTTCAACTTCATTAATCTAAACAATTCATTTCATTAAGTCAATAGCTGCTTCATTGAGCAATTATATATATATATATATATNTTGATAGTCAAACGGGATATTCTTCAAGTTTTGCAACATGACAAGAAATTGGGACATGATAAATGCTATGCAATAACCCAAAGATAGACAAATGAATAACTACAAATTTTGCTCCCAAGCTTGGAACTACAAATTTCCGAGTTTGGTGAAAAAATAGGTAGGTGACATTATGAATCATGTAATGATAATACAGTGTAAAACACTAATTTTTCAAGATTGAAAAAAAAAAAAAATGCGAGAAGCTGTGAGTGAGTATTAAACATTTATTTATTCTGTAATCTTTAAATAAGGCGATTTTCAAGTGAGAATGGTTTTGTAAGCTTTTCTGATGTTTTGAAATATTGTTTCGTTAAAATAATAAACAAATAATCAAGTTTTGGAACACAAGATAATCATAATACATTCACTGCAATGGCCCATATATAGAAAAAAGTGTTTTTAAAATATATATATGGCCCATATATATATTTTAAAAACACTGAATTTTCAAGATTTGAAAACATTGTGACTAGATGTGAGTATAATACATTAACTTATTCTGTTAAGTTTTTTAATAAGGTGGATTTTAAGAAGAAACCGTTTTTTTAGGGTTTTCTGGATTTTCTAAGTAACTGTCTCAAACAGTTGTAGAAATATCTTGATGAAATATTTGTTAAAAAATATACATAGATTTATATAAAGTTCTCCCAGTTTAACCTACACAATGTGTGTTGCCAGTTTTTATTAAACTGTAAATTTATGTAATACTGATACCCTGCATCATTTCAGGGTGGCCACCCACCAGAGAAATTGCCAAGACTAAAATTAATACAATTTTAGCAATCATTTAAAAAATAACCCATATATAAATACATAATTATCATTACAAATTTATACCTTAATGCTGAAGAACTTTTTTTAATTAAAATTATTACTTAACGTTAAAATTGCTCATTGTTCCAAACCTGAAATTTTCATGATTATGGAACAAAAACATTTTTTATGATTTCACAAATTTTCATTATTAATTTTATTACAGGCTCTTGATAGGTCCAAATTGAAAAACATTTATTTTCCTTATGTTTTAAGATATAAGGAAACTGAAATTATTTTAATAATTTCAGTTTCCTTGCTATTTTAATAAATTATTCATTTATTAAAATAACACCAATGACAAAAAATTAAAAAAATAATAAAAGTGAGACTGGATTAAGTTTTAAAAGATACAGTTTCATACATAAAATGCCAAATAATAAATCGAAACACTTTATTGTGTGACATATTTACTGAAATGAATATGACAAACAATATTGCTAATTGCTGGTATTCCAAAAAATTAGATCTAAGAGTAAATTTCCCTCAGAATTCTAGGTTTTCCCTGTTTCAAGAGTGAGTAGCCACCCTGCAATTAATAAAGCAACTCAAAACAAAACTTTTTTTTTCTTTTCTTAACTAAAGAAACTTTACCAAACATAATTTGTTGTAGGGTTGTCTAACAATGTCTTTCTTTCTAGCAATGTCTTTCTTGGTAACAATGTCTTTCTTTGCATACCATAAGTATGTTCACTGCCCCCACCTCTGTTATCTTCAGAAGGATAGTCTAACAATGCATTTCTTGGATATGGGTGAGCTTTCAAATCTGTATTATCCCTGACTTGGTTTACACATGGGGATTTTAACAAAACTTTTCTTTCCTTTTCAAAGGAATTTACTCCTAAAGTCTCATTGTTAACAACTGGATTTGTTGTAGGAGTTCCTAATAATGCAGGTCTCTGAAAATCAGAAGAATGGTATACTTTATTTTTCAATACTTGATTTACAGTTGGGGTGGTTAACAATGCTCTCCCTTGTTTTCCAAAAGAATGCATTCCTAATTCTTTTTCCCCATTCACATAAAATTCTGGAATTTGTAACATTGCACCCCTTTGATAATCAGAAGGATATGCTTCCAGATCCTCATTATTAGTTGCATAACTTGTATTGGGGTTTTTCAATAAGGGCTTCTTTTGCTTATCAGAAGATGTAGCTTCGAAAATCTCAACATCTGCAACATAACTTGTATTAGGGGTTTTCAATAAGGGTTTCCTTTGCTTATCAGAAGATGTAGCTTCGAAAACCTCAACATCTGCAACATAACTTGAATTATGGTTTTTCAATAATGGTTTTCTCTGTTTATCAAAAGGGTTTTTCAACAATGTTTTTCTTTCCTTAGTAAAAGAATTAGTTCTCAAATCTTCATCATCTACACCATAACTAGTACCAGGTTTTCTTAATAATGTCATTCTTTGCTTATCAAAAGAATTCACATCTAAATCCTCATCACCAACAGGATACCTTGCACCAGGGTCTTTCAATAATGTCTTTCTTGGCTTCTCAAAATCTTCATAGCCTGCACCAGGATTTTTTAATAATGTCTTTCTTTGTTTATCAAAAGGGTAAGTTTCCAAATCATCCTCATTATCTACAACACTATTTTCACCTGGTTTCCTTAATAGTGTTTTTCCTTGCTTTCCAAAAAGGTAGGCTTCCAAATTCTCATCTTCTTTAACATAACTTGTATTAGGACTTTGTAATAAGGTTTTCCTTTGCATATCAAAATGGGATTCTTCCCCAAGTGGAGAGCTCGGCAGAGCTTTTAATGATTCCACTTGGTAATCAACAGGATATACTCCTTGTTCATTAGTTGTAGGAAATTTTGAAAATGTGCTTTGTTGATAATCGAAGGAATATTCTTTAAATTTCTTACTTTCCATATTCTGATTTATGATAGGGGACAAATTTCTTGGATAAATAAAAGGATGAGTTTCATACTCATAACATTCGGAGGGAGTTTCTAACAACACATCTCTTGGATAATTGAATGAATGTATTTCTACCATCTCAGTTTCAATTACTTTATCAGTTGCAGGAGTTTCTAATAATGCATTTCTTTGATAATCAAAAGGGTGTACTCCGATGTAATTATTATCCATAGTTTGATCTTCCATAGGAGTTTCTAATAGAGTACTTTTCAGACCACTAAAATAACGTGCATTAAATTTTTCATTTTTGATAATGGTAGGAGTTTCTAACAAAGCAGTTTTTTGATAGTCAAACGGGTGAACACCCAATACCTTACCATTAGGGTCTTCAATAAGACCAGGTGTTTGTAATAATGGCCTTCTTTCTGTATCAAAAGGATGTAATTTTATTTCTTTATTTTTAACAGTTTGATTTTCAGCAGGAATTTTTAACAATGTCCTCCTCTGTTTATCAACATTGCCTCTGCTTAGTTTCAAATTTTTTCTAGTGCTATTTACAAAAGGACTGGTCAAGGAACATCTTTGATAATCAGAAGAACTAGTCATACTTTTATTTTCTGCAGGGGTTTCTAATAATGCTACATATTTCTTACGCCTTGATCGATTCTTCCTCCTTTTTCTAATATCTTTATCTTTCTTAGGAGTTCCTAATAATGCCTTACTACCTATAATTTCTGAAGGGGTTTGCAACAAAGCCTTTCTCTTCATACTAAAAGGATGCAATCCTAATTTTTTAGTTTCTACGATAGGATTTGCCTCAGGAGTTTTTAATAATGCCCTTTTTCTCTTTTTGAAAGAATGCAATTCCTCATTTTTCTCAAATGTATTAGCTACATTAGATTTCATATTTGTATGCCTACTGTAATCAAAAGAGTGTGTTTCTAAATTTTTATTTTTCCTAACTTCATGACCCGCAGAAGCATCTAAAAATACTTTCTCTTTCTTAATGAAAGCTTGTCTTCTAAATTTTCTTGTTTTACTGACACTATTTACTGAAGAGATATCTAATGATGCTTTCCTTTTCTTACAGAAAACATTTTGCTTTTGCTGAACTTGTGTTTTTGTTGAATTTTTTTTCTGAAAATGGTATTTTCCCCAACTATGATTTTTTCCCTGCGTGTTATTCTTCTTACCAGTAAGATTTCTTTCGAAGCATTTTTCATGAGAAAAATTATTTTTACTAATTTCATTTGAAGGGGTTTCTAATACTTCCTTCTTTACCTCATTAAAAGGATGCTGTTCTTGCTTAACATGAGCTCCTGTAGAATTTTCTGTGTGGAGACTTTTTTCATAGGCATAATTCCTTTCAGAAATAAAATTTCTTTCAGCACTTTTTTCCCGAAAATGATAATTTTTCTGACTTTGATTTTTGGCAAGACCATTCTCCCTAATACAACTTTCTTCTTGAATATCATTTTTCTTCTGAGTATGATTTTTTTCAAACTTTTCAACCTGAGTATAACTATTTTTTTGAATTTTACTTTTCACTAAATTTTTTTTTGGAGTATGACTTTTCTCATGAGAAATCAGTAAATGCCTAAAATGCCTGGGAAAACGAAGGTTGCAAAACTTGCATTTTAAACTACATTTTAAAAGCTTTTGAGTCGAAGACTCTTTAGTAGACTTTTTAATGTTTGTTTTTTTATGAGGAGAACCAGTAAAAGAAGTTATCGAAGTGTCATAGACTTTGGCTTTTTTAGAATCCATTTTGATAATTGAGGTACAAAACTGTTAACTTAAAAGTTATTTTAAAATATTTGGTATTTTGGCAATTTCTTTAACAAATTTGAAATTGATGTGACTTTACAGAAAAGTTAATAACTGGAATGCTTGTACAAAGTCAGATTTTGCTTATATCCTGTTGTTTCATTTTTATCTGATAATGACTGGTATAACTAAGACTAGTAGACTTGTCATATTTTTTTTATTGTAATTATCTGAAAGTAAGAAAAAAAACTTTGTGAAATAAAAGTAAATATACCAATACTGATTAATAAATACAATAGATTCTTAAAAAAGATTTTTTATTCTAACTATAGTCATATGTTCAAGCACCACTTAGGCACAATTGTGTTCAAGCACAATTGATTTATGCTGACTATATATTAAGGGTTTTTGTAAATTGATCATTTAGATTAAACTTTTTATGTGGTTTAAGATATACAACAACTTAAGATGAGATAGATGCAAATCAATATTATATATCTACATACATATATAAAGTAACAGTTTAGAAAAAATATTGAAATTTCTGTTTTTGTAATGAAATGCACAAACTTAAAAGATTTTGCACAAAATTACCCAAAGATAATATCGGTAATAATAAAATTAATTTTTAGAAACTTCTTTTATTATTATTATTGAATTGTAATAGAGATAAAAAAAAATCAAAATTTTATATAATATTGTACAAAAAAATCAGCAGAGTTAAATAAGAAAGGTCATACATTTTTACTCTTCAAATAAAAATAAATATTGTTATACGCTTAAGAGACAGATAAAAACTTAATTTATTTTAAATGTTTTTCATTTTGCTTTAAATAAAATAAAATAGAGCATAAAATTAACTTATATAGAAGACTAATTTCCTTTTTTTTTCTCAAACTTTTTTCTGTAAGCATTCATTAGTTTCAAAAAGTGATGTTTATATTTGAATGTTTTTTTATTAGCTTTAAAAGGTTATGAGTACACTATCATTATGAATTTCTTTCTTCCTCAGTTATTTATTTTTGAATCAACCACAGTTTTGTGAAAAACATTGCAATTATTCAAAGATGATAGGTAATATATTGTATAGATGACACTATTATATTGTATAGTCTTTTTTTATGCATGTCTTTTTTTAATATTATTTTCCTTTCTATTTCAGGGAATTGTAAAAAAATTGCTCAACTCTAATTAACACATATCTTAGTTTAACAATTTAAACATGAACTCTACATATGTGCAAGTATTTTTATAAACTAAATGAATAAAGTACAGGTAAGAAGAATTTTTTGTGGGGAAAGGGAATGTGAAGAAACAAATTGTAAAACTAATATTTCTTGACCACTTCTGATAATGATTGCTTGAATTGTGACGAATTTTTAATGTATAATTTATTATTGCATAATGCATAGTAACTAACACCTATCGTTTCTCAAAAGCTCAATGGAACTCAGACATCTAATAGTGAAGAATTGCCACAATCTTAGTTATAGGTATATTTCAAGAGATATTTCATATTACGAATTAAATTTGGAATGATTTATTAGTAATCCATCCCTAAGATTTCTAGGTTCAGGAAGCATTATAAAACTTTGACACTTTTCTAAAAATTGTGAAATTTGGTGTTTCTTTTTGCTTTTTTTAAGTGCTTTTTAATAGAATTTTTTTCTTTTTCAACAATTTAAAAAATGTAGGTGATCATTTTATTATTTTAAGGTTTTTAAAATGAATTTTAGGCTGCAAAATATAAAAAATTATGAAGTAAACAAAAATGTTATTAAGTATTTCGGCAGTCTGATAGCAGCTTTCACAAACTTAAAAAGGCCACAAAATTTTATTCCTAAAAAATTTACAGCTAATCAGTTTACAAATACAACTACAATGAACGGTGGAATAACTCTAGTCAGACAAGTGAAAACTGAGGATGTTATATATCATGAGTGCACAAAAATACCATAAATATTTACTCATAACTAGACTGATTTTGACAAAAAATTTTATACTTTCTAAGAATTAGAAAATGAATGTAATAATTTATAATAACTCAACTATTACTTGATTAAAAGCTTCATTTGCTTCAAAAATATACAAAGTGGAGATAACAGTCGACACTTTCACATGCTAAAAAATGGATGCCTATTTTTGAACGCTTGAATTATGTGGACTGTTATTTATAATTGATTTATTTCAAAAATATAAAAATGGAGATAATAGCCAACGCGTTTCACATGCTCAAAAATGGACGCCTATTTTTGAACAATTGAATATCTTGACTGTTATTTATAATTTGTATATTTTTGAAACAAATGAAGTTTTTATTCAAGTAATATCTTACCACTTCAGTTTCTTGGGATTATTTACTTAGTTTTTTAGGTTATTGCATTCATAAAAGTATACTATTTAAAATAATTCACAATGGTTGAAAAAAACATTCATAGCTGATATCTATTTCTGAACATCCATTTTTGTAAAATAACACCCACATCTAGTTAATTGTAAAATCTATGAGTTTTAATTCACAAAACAAAACTCTAAAAACAACTAAGAGTTTGCGAAAAAAGAAAGAAAAAAAAACGGATAAAATTTTCAAACTGGGGTAGTATGAATGAATTCAGAATAATTATATAAAGAGTGTGAAAAGATTCATTATAAAGATTGTGAATGCATCTTTTCAACTCACTAAATGAGTGTTTTAAGCAGATTTCTGCATGAGGGTCCCACACTGTTGATAAACAATGTGAAGTAGGTAATCAAAATTCCACAAACTTTTAAACTATAGATCATGAACACCTAACAATACCTTTTCGTTCATTCAAAGGTAACTTCTGGATGATTTAATTTGGTCACATTAAAAAAAAAAGAAATAAATGCTTAAACATTTTCCTCAAAACTTTCGCTAGATCAAAATTATTCTTTGTCAAAAGAAGCATTTTATTCTAAAATTGGAAAAAATTTTTAACTCCTACTTTTGAAATGATTCTAAGGAACCATAAAAAGGAAAACGTTGATTGTTATATTGTAATGAATAGTTCAGTGCAGACTAAAAAGAGTGTTAAATTGATATTGTGTCTATGGAATAGATAACAGCGCTTAATGTGTCAGTCCCGACAATGTGCTAGTGCAAACTGCAAAGAGTGTGAAATTAATATTGCGCCTAGGGAATAGATAATGGAGCTTTACCTGTCAGTCACAACAATAAAACGATAACAATTGTAACTGATTGGGGGATATTTCTGTATTGTGATCTGTCTCGCCAACTACAATCGCCCAAATGCAAAATAGATTTCAAACTTGCAAAAGCATGTAGGTAGATGTTTGTCCGGGGGTGGCTACAAGTTATACCTTTCGAGTTGATCCCTTTCTGTGATTTTTTTTTAAGTTTCTTGCGGGCCACTTGACCAAGACTTGGCGATTATTCTGCCACAGATTGCGATACAGAGATCTTCCCATTGATTGAGTATAGACGGTATTTCAGAGTCATGAAGCAACTCAAGCCATTTTTTTTTTTTTAAATTGCACAAACTTTTGGATAAAAAGTACTAATTCGTCAGTGCTAGTGGTATGATTAACTAAAATAGACACTTTAAACTATTGTATTACGTGTATTATAAAGTCCTTAAAGGTGACAAACCCCTCATATTTATCTATGGAAAAATAATGTGAGCCATTTTAATTTTTAATAAATAAGCAAGAAAATAAAGTTAGAATTCCTTTATTTATTAGTAGAAAATATAGTTAGTTGAGGGACTTTAATAAGTTTCGATTAAAGTGTAGAATCGGGAGACTATTGATATTTGGTGATATGAAAATATGACTATGTATAATTTTACGATAATAAACCAAGAATCAGGTGACGGTAAATAGAAATTATGGTAACCCGATGCTGACGTCATTAAAAGCAGAGACAGCAAGAAAAAAAAATATAATGGTATGGTAACGGGACATTTAAACCAAAGTTTCAACTTTTAGAGTAAATATTCTTAGGTTTTTTGAGTTTTATAAGAAATTCAGATGCATTAAACAAGAACATATCTTACCGGAAAACAATTCTTTTTTCATTCCAGGAACAGAATATTCTTTGGAGTTAATGATGGAACCAACAAGATCCATGACTAAGTTTCTTTGAAATATAACAATCAATGACTACTATAAATCTATTTTATGAACATAACTTCTTTTTCATAAGCATAGCCACAAGCACATTAATTCTGTATTTGTTTTGAGAATTATTGAATTGCTTTAGACTGCTTATTTCTGTCCAATTCGATATGCTTCTTTAATTTTTACGACTGATGCGAACTCGCAAAAGCAGGCGATTATTTTAATGGGAAATAACCAAATCCGCAACCGTACCATTAACTTATAAAAATAGAAATGTCAACAATAGAACAAAGTGGTCCATTGCGAAAAAAATATCAAACTTTTTAATATCAACGGAAAATAACTTTTAATCGGTTGTAATTGTCAGCAAATTTAAACGAAAATATGGACTTACTGGGTTCTATTTTAAATTCTATGGAGAAGCCACCTTCAGCCTCTACCGAAAGAAATAAAATGATGCAAAGTGTGTTTTGCTTTTAATTTGTTAACAATAAAAATTATTTTCCACGCATTTTTAATTTTCATTAAATAAAAATTCGTCAAACTTTATATAAAATATCTTTTGGGAATTATCTACTATTCATTAAAAATCAATTAAGGTTTCTCATGAGAAAAATATAAATTTTCTTCTGAAGTGTAATTTGTAAGCAATTGCGCGTTTAATATTTAAAATTCAGTAATGTCCGAATAATGTAATTGTAACTACGAAACGGAAATATCCCCCGTGAAATTAAAAGCAAAGTTCATGGGTAGAGAATTATTTTAACTTAAATGTGCAATATTGTTGATTGACAAGCTCTCTGTAAGAACTTCAATCTTTGCGAAATCTGCAAGTGCAACCCTCTGACTAAAGTAGTTATTTTGAAAAAACAATGTATAAAAATTTCCTGAACAAGGATTTTATCACTGATTAAAGGGAATTTATTTAAATAAAAGACTCAAAATTAATGTATTTGAAGTTACCTTCGCAGGTAGGATTTCTTCCCTGAGATTTTTCTTATACTGAGACAAAATTTCTTTTACAATTTATTAATTAAGAGAAAAAAGATAGGAGAAGAATAACAATATAACATATTAAGCAATTAAATAATTACCTAAATAGTACAACTTAGAACATTTAAAAATATGGATGAGTTTTCATGCAAGTTTCTGCCTTCATATATCAGTTTTTATTTTAGGGTAAACAAAGCAATTTCCTTAAAATAACTAAATTGAATAAAAATACATGTCTTCTATAAATACTTAAAACTACCCCTCTATATATTAATTTTAACATTCTTATTTAGATTTCAAGTAAACTAAAAACTATTACACTTTTCTTACTTTTCAATAAAATTGTGTAGAGCTCAGCCATATAAATAAATTGCATACGAAGTGAAACCTAATTTTGATAGCCATGAACATTAACTCTTTAATTTAATATATAAAATATATATATATTATTCCCAATTATTCTTTTAAATACATTCAAGATACATTTATTTCAGAACATTTTTATTTCTAAAACAATATTTACAAATGTTTTTTTTAATGAAATATGTACTAGTTTTAGAACTATACCCCACTCTGAGATAAAGTGGGTAAATCAAAGCATGTTCTTTTGAATGCATTGTAAGAAAACAATAAAATGAAATTGATAAGTTATGTTTCATATTTAATCTACATGAATCGAATGTGCATGAAAGGCATCTACATTTTTGCCGGAAGTCAACAAAACTTGGTAATGATTTCAGCATAGATTACGATATAAAAATATTCCCAATGTAGTTATAGGAACACTTTTTTTAAAAATAATAATCAGTTTGTAGTTTTAAAACAAACATTTGCATGGGAGAAGATTTTTCCATAACGTAATCTAACATATCAACTACAATCATGGAATGGATTTTAAACTTACAATTTAAAAAAAAAATAATAACAGGCAGAAGTTTGCTTGTGTGTGGCTACAAGTTATACCCTTCGTGTTGGTCCACTTCTGTGATTTTTTTTATTTTGATTTTCTCACAGACGGCTGCTCAGAAATTGTTAATTATCTTCCCTGGGAAGCTGACTTCATTTCTTTTCAACAGATTTGGAGTTCCTACCCTCAAAATATAAGGGGTAGTGGCAGTTTGGTCATTAGAGTGGTCCAGTGTTTAAACTCTTAATGTTAAAAATACTTTTTGCGGATTTTGCTATATCTCAAGAACTTTTTATTAAGCGAATTGAAACATTTTTGCATACAATTTCAAAATTCTTTTATCCCAAGATAATTCCCAGCAAAAAATAATTTTTATTAATTATTTTTTTTAATAATGTTGAAAAAATTTGGGATTGTGAGGCATAAAATTTTTTAAAGTATGTCATTTTAATTTGCAAAATACAAAATTGGATGAATATATAGTTTTAAAAAATATTGTAGATTTAAAATTTGATTTCTCAGGAACTATTTGCCTCATTTTACTCAAATTTGGTACTTTGAAGTTTAAAATTAAGTACTTCAAAGTGATGTGAAAAAATTTATACCTTACAATTTAAAATTTTTTTGACTATTATTTAATAAAATTTTTATTATTATTATTTATCTGTTATTTAATAATTATTAAAAATTATTTTTTGTATGGAATGATCATTCGGCAAATGTTATTTACAAATGTGAGCAAAATTTTTCAGTTGTTTTAAAAAGTTTGCTTAGATTTGTTTATTTTTTTGCGCTCTGTATATGTATGGTTGTTATAAAGGAAAGTGTGCCTTAATGGAAGGCATACTAAGGAACTTCTTAAATAATCTAAAATGTTTTCGGAAACAATTTTATAATTATGAAGCCACAAAAGAGTGTCTGAAATATTTTTTTAGAAAATCCCATGCCCATAAATGACTATGTTGACTTGCCCTTCGTTGTCAAGATGCATACATTCTGGTCAGTACAGAGATTCAGTACTCTTGAAAAATATTCAAGTCTATGCCAATTGTAGTATTTGCAATAGAAAGACAATTTTCTGCTATAGTAAATGTTCTATATAGTGTTGTCAAATTAATTATTTTTGTTTATTAGTGTTCTTTTATTTAATTTAGAACAAAAGAAAATAATGGAAAAACAACAAGCTGCTCAGAAGGCAAAGCTGAACAGTTTTAGAGAGAAGGTAAATTTGCTAATCTACTCTTTGCTATTGTAATATGTATTTCATGCTCTCATTAATTCTATTTTATTGCATTTTATTTTTTACTGTAAACTAATATACATTTTAATAGCTGAAAACTATACTCTAACACTCAAAGTTATTGCAGATGCACTGAAGTATGACAAATCTCAAAAAATTGAAAAGTAAGACAAATAAAAAGCCTCCCGTCAGATCCATATTTAATTGCAAAACAATCTGTTGGTAGGAGTCGATTAATTTCCATGATAATCCCCTTCATTCTCAAAATAGATTCAAAATATGATGAAGAAAAAGTTGGAAGAAGTTTATTACCAATAGTTTATTTTTAAATTGCAGAGTTTTCTCAGTACTTTATCCATATCTGTGTTTTTAAATATAAAAAAAAAAAAATGGCTCAGCTGCTTCTTGCATTGTCTAAAGCAGTGTTTCTTAACCTTTTTGATATAATGGACCCCTTTTAAAAAATTTTAAGAAGTCACGGACCACCCCCCTGTAAAAAACATCAATTATTAGAAAACATTTAATTTTATTATTTTAATAGTATGCTAAATTTTTAAAATTAAAATTTTTAATGTGAAGGTTGCGGCTGCTTTTCCTTAATTAATAAATTGAATTGGGGGATGGTTTTCGACAAAGCAATGTGCATATCATGTTCAACATTCAATCGATTGGGATGTTATGTTTTTATTGTCACAAGTGTGGAAAATCCCTCTTTGCAAAGATACACTGCAGCAAACGGAATTATAGCTGCCATAGCTCGCTTTACAAGCAATGGGTAGGCTTCCAAACGTTTTAAAAATTAGGAGTAGTCAACGGACCCCCAAAATATAACTCATGGACCCCTTAGGGGTTCTGGTTCATGAACCACAGGTTTAGAAACCCTGGTCTAAAGGGAGAAGGTGTTAAATAGGTTAGGAGTTGTACACTAAACCACTGGTTTAATGCAAACAAATTGTGTATGCTCTCTGAAATAAACAAAATACTACTTTGCTCATTTATAATAAAAGTTGTATCATAATGCAGGGTTTTTTTTTTTCATATCTGGAAGCAGATTTTTTTAAAAATCATATTAATGTTTTGTTTACTCTTAATTGTGTCACAGATTTGTTGGTATTTGGAATCAACAGGGTGGCCACCCACCTGGAAAACCTTGAAAATCTGGAATTATCAAGGAATTTTTTTTATACTGGAAAAAACCTGGAAATATCAAGGAAATTTGGATAAAACATGGAAAAATCAAGGAATTTTAAAGAAAAGCTGGAAATTTTTTCTTTTATCATTTTTTTAATTTCACCAATTTAAATTATTTACTAATTTTCTTAATTTAAATTATTTCATCCATTATACCCAGTTTTTTTAAACGGAAATGTATCACCAAACAGTTGAAATATCATCAACTTAGCGATACTTTGCTTGCATCAAAATTTGCTCCATTACAGCTCTGTTAAACTAGAATGCCACATAAAATTCTCCCACGGTTGCTAAACGAATGTAGAAATCTTTGACCGCTATGGGACTGTGCAATTTAGGAAAGATTCTGGTGGAGGTGGAAAAAGGGATTAGGATATTAGCTTCTGTTTTTAAATTCTGTCCTTGGGCTGAATCCATTTATGGCTCAAGTTTGTTCCGATGCTTTGGTGGTAATTTTTTTTTTCTATTTTGACAAAATGTTTTTGTATTTTTAACTTTATAAAATTCTCCAAAAATTAGTTGGTTATAATTTAATAATAATAGATTTTATATTGCACTCTTTTTCTGAAAGCTTTTCTACTCCCATTCAAAGAAATCTGTGAATTATTTTTTCTCAGCAAACCAACCAATCACACATTTTTTTACAATCGCTAACAGCAATGTTTGTCGACAAATCGTTACAATTGTTGCATTAATGCTAATTTTTTCTATTTCATTTTAACCTTTTATAACATATTTTAATTTTAAAAAAAAGTTTTTTTTATTTTAAGAATTAACTATATACTAATATTTAATTTTACTCTTTTGTTGGTCAATATATGATTTTTGATTCAAAATTTTGTACCAAAACATTAAAAAATAAATAAAAAATCTTGCCAAATTGTCAAAATAAATTATTTTTTTCAAGATGATATGTTAAAAAAATAACATTTTGAATAAAATATTTTATAATATAGACACTTTTCTTGTACACATCCTATACTTTATAAGAAAAAAGAAACAAAAACCTGGAAATTTTAAGATTTTTATCTGGAAAACCTGGAAAAATCAGGGAAATTTGAAATCTGATTTAAGTGGCCACCCTGATCAATTAAATTTTCTTAGGCTTCTTAGTTAATGAGTTGGGCTCTTCAATAGCAAAGCATTACATATTCAATTCACTTTCAGGTTAGCAAGTGCTCTTAGATCATGAAGCATTTTTTTTAAATAATAAACTATTCGAAGGGAATCTGATTCATTTTCTTTGTATGCATTTGAAATTGTTTTTTTTATATTTCTAGCAGAAACTATATTCTAGTTTTATTTGATAAGTGTAAATTGAATTTATTAATTCATTTTTAGTAAATAACTTATTTGAAATGTATTATTGTTTGAAAAATTTTTTCTTTGCATAGATAGAAAAAGAAATAAATGAATTTATTCAAGATTCCCAGAAACAAAAGCACAAGTTTGCACCGATGGACAAAGTATATCGTAATATTGTGTAGGTATAATTTTTTTAATTTATTTAACATATTTGCTAGTTTATTTACGTCTCATAAGAGCTGCACAATGGGCTATTGGTGATGGTCTGGGAAACATCCCTGAGGATGATCTGAAGGCATGTCTTAACAATTTTGATCTGCTACTGAGGGAATGGCATCCATGCTTCTGTAGCCAGCATACCTGCGGGTGAAGTCAAGCACTTAACAGTAGAACGGTTTAACGACAACCGATACTGCTCACCCTTGGTAGCATTCTACCTATCTGTTAAGATAAAATAGATCAGGTGTTAAAAATTTGCAGAAAGCTGGTCGCCAGAAAAACTTGGCAGATTAAGGATACCTAATAAAAATTATGAATATTATCTTGTCAGATATTAGTTATATAAAACCATTTATCTCAGGTACATAATATTATAAAAATAGAAATTCCTTTTGAACTAATGTTTTACTAAACATTGTTCTCTGTAAATTTAATATGCACAGATATAAATATATATATAAATTCAAAGTAATATCTCTAACTTTATATACAGGGTAGTTCAAAACTATGTGTCAAAAGCGTAAGAGGGTACAAAAATCAGCAGATTTTGTACTGGAATGTAGATGTAGAAATACAGAGTTTAAGTGCTAGCTGAGAAAGCAGTATTAATCAAAGTAATGTAAACAGTTAAACATAATAAATAATTAAACAGTTTACAATCAAATAATAGTTTACAGTATCTTCTTGAAAGAGCAGATAGGGCGAGCCGCCTTCCTAAAAGCGCTTAGGGGGAACACTGCATGGCATTGAAGAATTTATAGAATGAATCATTTTAATGTACAATTCGATTTTCATTTTTTAACATTCCAATTTTCTTGTCTGAGATTTTGTCATGATGTGAATTAAATAAGATATTATGCTACCATATATATTGGTGTATAAGTTGACCTATTTTTCTCAATAATTTTCATTGTGTTGTATTTTTTGAAATACTCTTGTATGAATTATTTTAACTTTTTTTATTCTTAATTTTATGAATTGAAATTAAAAGTATTGAGTCTAAAAAAAAACTTTATATGTATAGAAATATGATGAGAGAAAATGCAAGATTAAATGCATATAACATTTTAAAAATATTCCTTGAAAAGGTAAATTGTTGTAGAGTTATTCATATCTATCTCATTATTTATAATGCATCAATATTTCATGATCAATGGAATATCCGACTTAGTCTGTATGTGTCAACCTTTTTTTTTTTTTTGTAAAATTTTGGAGGTTTGAAAAGTAGGCTTATACACTGGTACATACGGTATTAACGTAAAAAACTAGATTTCTTAAGAATGGCTTCATATGTAATAGTTGTTGCATTTTCCTTATTAATGCGATATATTTTAAACTATTATAAATGTTAGAATTCTGTTTTACAGACATGATGTAGCTGATATTGCTGGTTTATGTGCCTTTGCTTTTGGTGAAGAAGAAGTCGATAGATATGTAATGATATTTAAAAAGGTAAATCGATACATCATATACCAGAAAATGTTTTTTATTTTTTCAAGCAGTTTATTTAAAGTTTGTATCTAAATTGTTGCTTTATCGTCAAACTTCTATTACTTGAACTAATTTTATAATTCTGTTAAAAAATAACAGCTTGAGAGTAAAAATTTCTTTTCCTTGTCTATGTTCATCACCATTTCTTTTATTCTGGTCATTTGTGAAAAGAAATTTTTGCCCCAGGATATCAAATTTCATTTTTGTAAGTCAATTTTTAAGCCAATTTAGTTAATACCAAAACAATGCAATCATGCAAACCTAGCAAGGTTGGCATAATTTTTAATGTTTAAGCACATTAAGAACATTTTTAAACTTGCTGAAAACTGATAAAAGAAATTCATCTAAAGCATGCATGTTCAAAATTTTACACATTTCTATCCAATACTTCTTAAAATATACAAATTTAAAGTAGCTAAAGCAGAAGAAAAAGAAAAAAACGAGCATAAAGCTTAAACAAAGTAATAAAATTACAGGAATTTAAATCCTATAGTTGTGGTTCTATAAACAAGAATCTTTTTCAGTTTCTCAATACCATTCATCATGTTGGTATTTAGACTGTTAGAAAGGCTCTTGTTTATAAAACCAAAACTATAGCATGCCCATTTCTGTACTTCATTTGTGCTTTATGCCCTTTGTATTTTTACTTTGGTCTACATAGCACGAAATATACCCTATCCATTTTAAAAAGTAGTATCCAAAGTAGCTACTTAGCTGTGAAATTTTTCAAAGATAAAACTGCATTGAAAGATTGATATGATGATGATTTTTGCTGCTTTTGAAATTCATTTTACTTTCAACTACTGTTATATAACTTTCACTCTAATTAAAATAAAAAGTTCCTATTTGCGACATTTAAAGCATGCAATTTTTCAAAACAAATAATAAAAGATAAATTTTTTGATTTTTGCGGTCCCTGTCCCCTTGAGTAATTAAACTGAGGCTTGTCCTAAACTAGTGAGTTATCTTGATTGTGGTTTAATATTAATAATAATTGATTTTTCATACTTATTGATTTAAGAAAGAGAATAATAAATAAAAAAATGTTCTTTTTTGGCTGAAATATTTTTTTCCCTTTAAAAATGTTTTTTTTTTTCTAGGAGCATGCACCATCTGATGAAGAATTAGCTGCATATCGTAAAGGGGTAGAATATGATCCCCAGAAGGCTAAAGAGCTTGCTTTGCAAAAGGTATTAATAACTGAATATAATTTGACTTTTAAATGAAAACTATGTTGTTGCTTTTTTATTTTGACACAAAGACAGGTCTAACTAACTAATGAGCAATTTTGATTTTCTCTCTATGTTAAAAAATTATAAGGACCACTGTTGCTGTTTCGAATGTACAATTTAATGTTATTTTGCAGCGTAGAAAATATGAGACTTTGAAATTATAAATTCCGAAGTTGTGTAGTAAAAAGAATGAGAAATTTGTTGGGTTAAAAAAAAAATAATAATAAGATTCTATTTTTTGCTCAAGATTGCAGATTTATTACTTTTTGAAATTAACAGTTACTGAATGAGCCATTTCTAATTGTAATTTTTTTTCTTTTTGAAATTCTTACTTGTTTGAAAGTTATAGCAATTTTAGGCTTTCTTTTTTTTTAAATTTTCCCTTTTTTTGCTTAAAATAATTATTATTTATCTATTGTGGAAAAACATGCATCTCTCTAGAGATATTCATTTCAGTTTATACTTGACTTGATGTCATAAGTAACAAAAATTGAACAAATAAAGTTTAAAAAAATAAGAGAAAGATGTTAGATGCTGCTAGATATAAATCACAACATTTATGTCAAAATTTTTATAAATATAAAGACTGGTGAGGTATTTATCTAAAATTTATAATAATTATATATTTACAAATTAAAAAAAAAAAGATTTTTCTTTTTTTTGGAAAATATTTATTATTGAAAAAAAAAACATTTATACCTAATCTTATACCGTTTGTGTCTGATGAGTGTTAAGCATGATCATGCGTGTGTATTGAATGGTTCTTATTTTTGTATTACATCAAACAATGTTTTAGTAAAATCTGTCCTGTAGCTCTGGAGATAATCAACTGTATGTAAAATTTCTCTTAAATTTGAACATCAGTGTAAATTCTTTTTCTGTGCAATAGTAACATATACAAAATCATCCTAATTTTGTTTTATTACTAAGTTATGTTTAAATTTAGAACTTTTATTAACTTACAATGAAATTTAATAAATTCATTGAACTTGGTAAAAATGTACTTGCATCTGATAAATTTAGCTAGATTTTAAGTTGTCGATTTTTCATTATCAAAATAAAATAATTATCATCAATATCATTTCATGTAGCCTACTTTTACTACTTTTTTATACTAGTGACTATTTGGATGGTTTTCATTTAATATAATTTAATTTTAGTATTTTTTATTTTTTTATTTCATGAGCAACTACTCTTGTTTGTTTATACTGTAATGAATCATTTCAGGAGAAAGAAAGACTCCAAGAACTTGAGGAAAGCAAAACAAGAAAGCAACAAGCTGGACCTGTAAATAATTATGCTGCTAAATATGAAAAATTAGTAGGCTCAGATGCTGGAATTGCTGCAGCAAAAATAGCCACCCCAAATAAACAATTTGGATTCGGTAAGGCTTTTTTAAAAATATATTTTTGTATTAGCTGTCATTCTGTAATAATAAATGTTGCACGCTTATATATTTTTATATATTAAAAAAAGAAAACATTTCCGTAAAATTGAGAGATCAAATTTTAAATTTTAGACTTGCTTTAAATTTGTTTTCAAATTTTGCAATTTGCAAAATAATATAAAATTTTTTAAAGTGATGAAAGAACTTTTTATTCCTTACAATTTAAAATCTTTAGACTTTAATAAAATGTATAATAATTATTAAAAATTATTTTTTGCATGGAATTATCTTTGGATAAAAGAATTTTTAAATTGTGTGCAAATTTTTTTTATTCACTTAAGAAATTCCCAAGACTAGACAAAATATGCAAAGCGTGAAATTAACATTTAGAGGTTCAAACTTATGATCACTCTCCTGACCCAACTATAAGTATAGTTAGTTCACCAAGAGTTGGAACTTCCACCTCCTTGGACCTAGAGTTCATTTCAGCGTGAGAGTAAGAAGAGAAACACCTCTGGGCTTGAAATTGAGACAACCCTTAATGTGTGCCAAACGCAAACAGTGAATTCCTTTTTGTTAGATAAATAAATGCTTCAAGTTTTTTTTTCCTATTTCAATTGATTAAATGACATAAAAAAAGGGTATAGGTTCGATCTTTGTCAGTTGTCTAAGAGGACGATCTCATGCATTCAACTTATGTAGGTGACGTCATGGTCTGCAGGGATTGGTTAGTTTCTTTTCATTCGCTGTTGGTCTTTCTCGCATGGATCATGACATCATCCGTTATCTGTTTAAAGAGTATTTAAGCTTCTGTTGAAGCCGATAATTTTGCATTCTTCCTTTTCATTACGTTACTCATTTATCACTTTGTTTGTGAGAGTATGATGCCTGCTTAATATGTTTTTAAAATTAATTGCTATAAAAACTTCGTTTTTTATTTGTTTTGTTGACAAACAGATACAATGATATTCTGCTATTATCTCGGATGTCATGGTTATGGGCCATGTTTTAGGCATAACCGGGATTCATATTCTACCGTCCTGAATATCAGATTTGCATTAGCCTGGATTTAGCCGAGTCATTGTCAACTTCAAATGGAGAAGCTTAAAGATGTTAATCAAAAGTTAAAAAAAAAAAGAGAGAGAGATTACATGTTGCCAGATATAAATCTTAACATTTATTGTGAAATTTTTAAAACTTAATCTTATGCAATGAAAACCGTTCCCTACTTGAATTGTTTTAAGTCTCGTCAAGGTATAAAATTACTTCTAATTTATTTATTCCACTTGAATCACACAATCTGTATTAAGTTACTTTTTTTCCAATTAGAGATAATTAATTTTCAAATCCAGGTAATCGTCTCTTTCGTTTCCATTAGCATCTTAACCAAATGTTCTTACATAAAGCTATGATAGTTATATATTTTAAAAACAATAAAAAAATTTTGTGGAAAATATGAAACAATGATGAATCAAGAAGCAATTACCAGGGCTGATGAACGAGTCATGAAAGGGTGTAGCTTCCTCAACTTATAAAAGATTATTGAATGTGTGCTTATAAAATAAAAATCTTGTGAGAAAAAATTTTCTATAGCAATGGATAAATAATCAATATTTAAAGCAAAAAGCTGGGGGGAAATATCGAATAAAAGCACTTAAAATTGCAATAACTTTCAAAGAAATTGGAATTTTAAAACAAAATTTATGTTATGTTTAGAAATAAAAATGGCTCTTTTCATGTCAAATTTTAACTCAGTAGTTTTATTTTAGAAAGCTACAAATTGATCAAATACGGGTTTTTTTCCTGCATGTTTAACGCTTAATAATTCTTGAAAGTTAAAGTTTTTATTCCACCTTATTCCCTATATTTTATTTCACACCACATTATAATTTCACATTTTTAAATCTTATAGTTTTTGCACAGCAAAGCATGATGTAACGTAAAAAAGAGGGTACAAAAATTTGTGAAAGAAGCATTCTAAATTGGAGTAACTTTTGAACAAATTTGAATTTAAAAAATAAGCTGAACTTAACAAAACTAACATAACAAAGTTCATAAACAAAACTAGACTTTTCAGTACGCAAATTTAAACTTTGTAATTTCCTTCCTGTGGTCTGCAAAGCAGCCTGTATGATATTTTTTATGTCAAGATTAACAATAATTAATTCTCTATTATTAATAATTTTATTCCATCGTATTCCTTATACATTTTCCTACAATTATTCGTAATTTCAAGTTTCTAAATCTAATATTTTTTCACAGCAAAACAAAATGTAATATTAAGCTGAATACCAACATCAGCCCTTGCAGTTTTTTAATAGAAAAAAATCCATTGAAAAACCTCTATTAATAATAAAAAATTTGTGAGCAACCTCATTCCATATATTTTGCTTTTTCAGTCTCTTTATTTTTATTCTCATGTGCAGTATATACACTATATCTTGAAGTGTTTTCTTTTTCTATTAAAAATATTTATTTTGTTTTAGTTAATAGTGAACAGAAAAAAGACAAGAGGTCAATCGAACAAACTTTAGCTGACATACAAGCAAAAAAGAAACTGAAAAAAAGTAATGAAGACAAAGAAACCCAAAACAAAGATGACTAGCTGCTTAATTATTCTCCTAAAGATCAATTAAACTTTTATTCTCTTGTTACATCATGTCTTAAGATGTAGATAGGACAACTATGCTGTTCCTTTCGAAAAAGTTCCAAATCGCATTAATTTTTTTGACTGTCGCCAAACTCATTGTAGATACAACATACTTACACCTTATTACACAGAGCAATTGAGATTTAGTGAGACTCTTGTATCCTGTACCTGATTGTATTAAATGTGACTGTTGAGACTTAATACAAATTGCTCACTGGAATGTTTGTGATGAAGGTTACAAATAAATTATTTATTGTGTTGTTATTCTGCAACTGTCGATTAAATTTGTGTGCCCTGTTATTTTTAGCTCTTATGAAATATGAAAATTAGATAAGCATCATAAAATGTTAATCTCGGAATATTTGAGCACTGGAGAGGCTTATAACTCAAAGTGTGCTTTTAACTATATATCTGTTTTAGCTGCTGATCAAAAGAAAAATATTTAAAATAAATACCTAAAAACCTTGACAATAAAAATATACTTTATTTGAAGGCTTAGAAAAGTATTTACTTTTAAAATAAAGCTGATTTGGGAAGTTGTGGATTTCTTTTTTCTAGTTGATGTGGTGCAGTGTGGTCTATGACCAAGAGTGATTGCACCAGACAGAGAGAAGGGGCTAACTACTCCATCCAGAAAAAAACAAGCCCTGTTACATAGTCAGGTCATTGAAAAAAAAAGAAATCATTAAAACTACAATATTTTTCTAATGTAATACAGACACGTGATTGCTGAAGAAGAAATTGACTAAAAATTTTTCCCCTTAATTTTTTAGTGCTTAATGTTTAATTTTGTTTTAAATAAAAAGTTAATAAATAAAATAATCATTTTTGTGCACAAAAGTAACATTTAAATTTAATGAGAAAAAGAAAAAATGTTTTGTTCAAGAAATTTTTTTCTCATAAAAGAACCTATACATTGAAAAAAATTTCATATTCCTCCTTTTTTGTACTTTACAGAAAAAATATTAAAACCTTGAAGTTTACAGTGATAATTGAAAAAAGATAGATGATAATACCACATGTATGTACAATGAAGTCGCAAATGTTAGAAAAGTTTTAATTAAATGTATGTTTTAGATTAAAATGTAATAAATAATGTCGTATTGAAAAAAGTCTCACATATTCGAAGTTTATCTGAAATTGTGTTCTTCTCTAACAAATCTGCGTAAAAAAAGGCTCTGGTAAGGGCAGGATGTATGTCTCAGTAACGAAATTTTGCGTAAGTAACGAAAATTTAAATTTTAGATTAGTAGAACTCTGAGCAGGGGCGTACGCAAGGGAGGGGGTTAGGGGTTTAACCCCTCCCCCCCCCCTTGAGCTCAGACAAAGTGAATTTACAAAATAATACAGACAAAAATAAAAATTTTAGTAGAAATTATGCGGGTTATTATTTTTTAAGACTATATATTTTTATTTGCCTTATGCCTACTTTTTTTTTCTCACGGTATTTCTCAGAATACTGATAAAACATTTACTATAATAGGGTTGTATTTTTGAAACCAAATTCACGTGATACTGTTACGGGCGAGCCCCGATCACTGGTTCCNCTAAGCTATTTCGTAAAGTTTTACATATTTTTGCATTATATTTATATTTGTTCAAAATTTGCTTATCGTTAAATTTTTAAAAAGCGTCTTTGCTTCAAATCCCCATAATAATTCAGCAAACTCATCTTCCAGGTTGATGTGCACGTTTTCAATTTGAGCAGAAAATGGCACAATAATTCAATCAGGGATGTCAATGTTTTCCAAATCAACAAAACACAGTTTAAAAGCGTCGCTCAATTTTTGAAGATTACCTGTATATATTTCCAAGTCTTCTTTTATTTCTAATTGTCACATATCTGAAAAATACTGATAATCCTTCGCGGAATCGACCCTTCCGGTTCGGAGCGACCCCCTGGCTCAGATCGACCCCCGCTTATGCTAAATAGACCCCTGGGGGTCTATATAGACCACTTTGGCGACCTCTGGGCTAACCACTCCATCCAGAAAAAAACAAGCCCTGTTACATAGTCAGGTCATTGAAAAAAAAGAAATCATTAAAACTACAATATTTTTCTTATGTAATACAGACACATGATTGCTGAAGAAGAAATTGGCTAAAAATTTTTCCCCTTAATTTTTTAGTGCTTAATGTTTAATTTTGTTTTAAATAAAAAGTTAATAAATAAAATAATCATTTTTGTGCACAAAAGTAACATTTAAATTTAATGAGAAAAAGAAAAAATGTTTTGTTCAAGAAAAGAACCTATACATTGAAAAAAATTTCATATTCCTCCTTTTTTGTACTTTACTAAAAAAATATTAAAACCTTGAAATTTACAGTGATAATACCACAGGTATGTACAATGAAATCGCACATGTTAGAAACGTTTTAATTAAATGTATGTTTTAGATTAAAATGTAATAAATAATGTATTGAAAAAAGTCTCACATATTCAAAGTTTATCTGAAGTTGTGTTCTTCTCTAACAAATCTGCGTTAAAAAAGGCTCTGGTAAGGGGAGGATGTATGTCTCGGTAACGAAATTTTGCGTAAGTAACGAAAATTTAAATTTTAGATTAGTGGAACTCTGAGAAAATTTTGGCGGAATATAAATTATTGATTCGCAGATCAACGGTCTTAAGATTCCAAAACTTTCACAATTCACACAGTAAATTCAAGGATTACTCCTATTGTTTACCTAACATTTTAAATCTTGTGTAATATAAATAGATCACTTACTGCAGTTTCCTTTGTAATGAGAACCCTCCACTTTCATTTTGAAAATAGTTCTTTGTCAAACCACTGCAGTTCAAATTTTCATATCAATTGTAAGAAGCAAAGATTGGTGTTTTAATTCCAATGGCAGCATAATTGCACTTGGTGAAGCAGAGCGGCAATTATTTTCTTCTTAACCATTACGCTTCGTATGATTCAGCATTGCATATTTTTTCAGGATCAGTTTAACTGCAGCTTTTTCTCATTGTGAGGCATTTTTCATTGGCTTATAAACTGGTTTGTATACTTGAAGTTACATTACATGCTTTTGTGACACAACTGGTTAAAAGAAATATCCCAAAATTACTTGTGAGAATTGGTAAATTTAAACAGGGTGTCTCCCTAGATTTATTCTTAAAAACCTTGTCAAATATGAAATCAAAACAGAGAAACTTAATAATTAATTGCATAAATATCAATTTTGGGTTCTCAAATTGGAAATTTGAGAGGAAAAAACCAAAATCAATTTTGGAATCTTACACATCACTATTGAGGAAGGAGCCTATACAAAATTTTAAAGCTTGTTTGATTGATGGAGTAACCGAGAAATCCAAAAACAGATGTTAGAAACACCAAGTTTCAACCAGCAGTCAAACAAGTTTTGTATACTTGCCTTTTTCAACAGTTATGTCAAATTTCATCAACTTTTTTTTCCTTGCATAAATATTAGTTTGAGTCTCCTAATAAACTTATTATTGGTCTTCATTTTTACAAAGTATTTTATAAATATATTAAGGGCAGTAAAAAAAACTCCCTGTATGGATTACTAACAGGGATCCAACGGATACCCAGTGTGTATCCGGCCAGTTGGTCTATCGAGCAATAGCCAGATATTTTGATTATACAGCCCAAAATTAAATATTGAAGAAAAATAAATAGCATATAAATTAAATAATATTTAATAAATAACTCAAAGTTATGCTCGAAACTGCTATTTAATACTAAAATTTCTTTTTCTATTAAGAACTTTTAAAAATTCCATATTTATAAACTTTACAAAATAAAGAAATTATCTGGGACAGTCCTACTACAGTTATGAAATCGGCCAGTGATATAAATATCTTTATTATATAAAACGCTAATACATATGTATAAATAAAACCGATATTTCTTTTCTCGCGTTGGCAACAGTTTTAATTTTTAATTGATGGGCTTCGCCGCGCAAGAGCACGTAGTGAGCATCATATGGCTAATCTATATTATATAAAACACTAATACGTTTTAATCGATAGGCTTCGGCGCGCAAGAGCACGTAGTGAGAATCATATGTCTAATCGGGGGAATTCTCATCGAATTATCAAAAAATTTCTCACAAAATTATCTTCATCGAAGCCGATGCTTTACATCCGGCATTCAGTACTATTTCATATGGTTTTAGCCCTCTGGTGGGAAAGACTTTAAAACAAAACTTACAACAGTCACTTTTCTCAACAACTGAAATTTAGAATAGTGTGATTAAGAAAAATATGTGAACTGTTTGCAATTTCAAATTAATTTTGAAATGCACAGGTTTAGAATTTTCTACAATGAAAAGTTTTTGGTAAGAACGTTTCCAATGAGCGAGTAAAGCGAGCATCGGATTGCAAAGCAACCCGAAATGAACTGCGAAAGCAGCTCCGAGGGTTGGCGAGTGCCAGCGAGCAGGGGGCGAAGCCTCCAAGTATTATTTTAAAAGTTATATGAAGTTGAAAATATATTGTGGTACTTATGGTATTCAATATGTATAGTTTCACAGACATATATATGACACCATTGCTTTCTAACATTGTGAGTTTTAAAAATTAATAAAATCAGAAATCTTGTCAAATAAAAATTTGCTAGCTAATAAATAAGTATAATTTCATTAAATATTTTTCTGATATAATTAAAAAAAATCAGCATGGTTGGCAGTTATGATATCACAAAAATATTGTAATAAAGTAATGGTCTCTAAGAAATTTTTTTAGCAATACCAATATATAAAATTACTGAAACTGATATTAAATGCGGCAAATATCAAATTTATTCCAATAATAATATAATTTTGCTTATTTTTTACAAAGCTTGCCAACGTGATATTAAAAATTAAATTTCATATGGATCTAACAATCTGAGAAATTATGATTATATTCATTAAATGCATTAATAATGTTTTGTAATTTAAGATATATACTGACTTGAGATTAAAAGTTCAAAATAAACAAAAAGAAAATATTACCTTAGTCTCATGCTATTAAATATTAATACTAAAATAAAAAAGATACCGTTGCTAAATACTGGGCATCGAATATCTTATTAAAAAAAGTCCATGTACTGTCGCACTCGTAACACCAAGAAGTGAATAAATTTTACAAATAAAAAAACACAACATTAAACATCACACTTTTAATGCATAGGACACATACATCAGCTACACAATATTGCACAGCAATTAAAAAAAAAAAGGCAAAATTTTGATGATATAAAGTAAACATTTTTCTGAGCGCATGTGAAATGTACAAAATTCTTTTTCTTTTTTATCAT